AGCGTTTAAATGAATTTATTTTTCTTCTCCCATTGGCAGATTATTTTGCTTGTTTTAAGGTAAAACTTAGGGCTGTGCAATTAATCGAAAATCCGGTTTCGATTTCGGCTTCTAAGGATTATGAAAAACCATTAATGGAGATAAGCGATTATTCCATCATACACCGCCCCCTTTCCAGTTGGACACATTTGTTCCTCTGCAAAGCTCAGCTCCACGTGAAAATGACTGAAAGCATGTGCTGTAATGTAACATCTGCAGCAGAGGATGCGCATCATTCATATTTTTAAAAGCGCAAAAGAGCACATGCTGTTGTGTGTGTGCGCGCCGCGCTCAGCCTCGGACAGGCTCGGAGACGAGCAGAACACACACATCTAAAGTTATCTTAATGTGAGCTCTTTAATGGTCAAATACATGCACATTTGTTTAGTGATTGTTTATTACACAAACCAGGGTTAATATGAATAAACAAGTTGAGAATCAAAAGACATGTGAAAGAGAAACCATATCAGAGCCACACTATTCTTAAAGTGACAGCACGCAATATTCCTGCTGCCGTCTGTTTTTATTATTAATCAAACAACAAAAGGAGAAAATCCCTCACTGCTCTTGACTAAAGGACGGCTGTAGCTCAAGTGTTTTTCTTACAGTGAAGATGCTTAAAGCACAGTTTAAACATAACAGATTTAATAACGCATCCCTAATAACTGATTTCTTTTATCTTTGCTATGATGACAGCACATTATATTTTACTAGAAATTCTTCAAGATACTAGTATTCAGCTTAAAGTGACATTAAAAGGCTTAATTAGGGTAATTAGGCAAGTCATTGTATAACAGTAGTTTCTTTGCAGACAATTAAAATATATATATTTCTTAAAGAGGCTGATAATATTGACTTTAAAATAGGTTTCAAAATATTTAAACCTGCTTTTATTCTAGCCGAAATAAAACACATAAGCCTTTCTTCAGAAGAAAAAATATTATAAGAAATACTGGGAAATATTCCTCTGTTAAACATCATTTGGGAATAATTTATATATATATACTATATAACAGGGGTTTGTTCTGTAGACTATCGAAAAAATAAATAGCTTAAAGGGGCTAATAATATTGTGCCAAAAATGATTTTTTAAAAATTAAAAACTGCTTTTATTCTAACCGAAATAAAGCAAATAAGACTTTCTCCAGAAGAAAAAACATTATCAGACATACTGTGAAAATTTAAAATTTCCTCGCTCTGTTAAACATAATTTGGGAAATATTTAAAAATGAGAAAATAATTCAAAGGGGGGCTAATAATTTTGACTTCAACTGATAATCGTTTTGAATAATCGAGATTACAATTATGACCAAAATAATCGTGATTATTTTTCCCATAATCGAGCAGCCCTAGAAAAACTCACTTCATTTTGACTCATTATTTCTGAAAAACAAGACCATTTTTTGCTTGTCCAGAAAATGCTTCTTGATTTACATTTTTAAAAGATATTTGGACAAGAATCACAGTAAAGCTGGTTTCGTAGTTAAACATGTTTTTTATTAAAAATCTCACTTTTGCATACATACGATTACTATAATTAACTTATTTAATTAAATTTGTAACTAGTTGAAAAAAAAATGAATGCCTGCTTTTGACATGGTTAAATAGGTGATGTTAAACAAAACCAAATGTTGGATTTTTGTGTGTGCAAAATTGTTAATTGTTGCAAAATATTTTATACAAAAATGTGGATTTTTTTTTGTGCATTTTTTTTCATCATCTTACAGAATTTAAAAATGCATTTTAGATTTGCATTTAAATCCAAAAAGCATTTAAAGCTTACAATTTATCATTTAATTTGTGTTGAAACTCTTCTGAATAACACAAATCAAAAAAGATCTTAGCTTCTTAAATGAAGAAGCATTTTCTAGACAAGCAACAAATATTATAATCTTTTCAGAAATAATAAGTCCAAATAAAGTGAGTTTTTCCTTAAAACAAGCAAAATAATCTGACATTTTTCTTTCTCCTTGTTTTATGGCATTTAAAAGTATATTTTAGTATTTTATTTCATTCCAAAAGCCATTTAAAACTAAATATTTATCCTATAAAACATCATTTAATTTTTGTCGAAACTAATAATATCGAATAATCTAATACTATTGAAAACTAATAATCCAATAATAACATGAATAATAACATAAATGATAAGTTATATCTAAAAGTAATGTTTGCATAGTGTATTTAAGGACATTTTGTCTTGTAAATATTAACAATAATAATTCCTTATATTTCTATAGCGCTTTTCTGGGCACTCAAAGCGCTTTACACAAAGGGGGGATCTCCTCATCCACCATACTGTAAGTGTGCAGCATCCACCTGGATGACGCGACGCCAGCCATATTGCGCCAGACCGCACACCACACACCAGCTGATTGGTGGAGAGGAGACAGAGTGATGGAGCCAGTTATGATAATATTAGATACACCTGTTCAACTGCTCGTTAACACACATTTCTAATCAGCCAATCACATGGCGGCAGCTCAATGCATTTAGGCATGTAGACATGATCAAGACGATCTGCTGCAGTTCAAAGCGAGCATCAGAATGGGGAAGAAAGGGGATTTAAGAGACTTTGATCGTGGCATGGTTGTTGCTGCCAGACGGGCTGCTCTGAGTATTTCAGAAACTGCTGATCTACTGAGATTTTCACGCACAACCATCTCTAGGGTTTACAGAGAATAAAGAGGAAATATCCAGTGAGCGGCAGTTCTGTGGGCGCAAATGCCTTGTTGATGAGGCCAGAGGTCAGAGGAGAATGGCCAGACTGGTTCCAGCTGATAGAAAGGCGACAGTAACTCAAACAAGCACTCGTTACAACCGAGCTCTGCAGAAGAGCATCTCTGAACACACAACACGTCCAACCTTGAGGCGGATGGGCTACAGCAGCAGAAGAGCACACCGGGTGCCGCTCCTGTCAGCTAAGAACAGGAAACTGAGGCTACAATTCACACAGACTCACCAAAACTGGACAATAGAAGATTGGAGAAACGTTGCTGCTCTGATGAGTCTCCATTTCTGCTGACATATTCGGATGCTCGGCTCACAATTTGGCCTCAACAACATGAAAGCATGGATCATCCTGCCTTGTATCAGCGGTTCAGGCTGGTGGTGGTGGTGTAATGGTGTGGGGGAGATTTTCTTTGGGTCCATTAGTACCAATTGAGCATCAACGCCACAGCCTACCTGAGTATTGCTGCTGACCATGTCCATCCCTTTATGAGCACAGTGTCTCCATCTTCTGATGGCTACTTCCAGCAGGATAACGCAGCATGTCATAAAGCTCAATCATCTCAGACTGCTTTCTTGAACATGACGATGAGTTCACTGTACTCAAATGGCCTCCACAGTCACCAGATCTCAATCCAATAGAGCAGCTTTGGGATGTGGTGGAACGGGAGATTGGCATCATGGATGTGCAGCCGACAAATCTGCAGCAACTGTGTGATGCTATCATGACAATATGGAGCAAAATCTCTAAGCAATATTTCCAGTAGCTGGTTGAATCTCTGCCATGAAGGATTAAAGCAGTTCTGAAGGCAAAAGGGGTCCAACCCGGTACTAGTGTACCTAATAAAGTGGCCGGTGAGTGTATACTGTTTTGTCATCTATATCCTCAGCCATAATGTTTTCAACAATACATTTCTGATGATGATTTAAGCGTTCTGCACACTTTTTGGTGTTCAGATGTTTAGCAGTGAGAAATCTCTTATCGATGGAAACAATTAAACAGTGAGCTGAATGATAATGCAGCAGGTCAAGGTCTGTTCATTGATCTGCATTTCCCACCTGTGCACATGCTGGTGATGATGATATACTGTTACTGTATGCATGACCTCGCTGTAAGGTTAAAGGTTAAACAGTAACGCTGTCTGGAACAGTAATGCTATCAAAATTCATGGAGAAAACCAACATTCTACCAAAGCAGATGAAAATTAATTTAATATCATCCCACTGCTAATTTTAAAAACAGTTTCTTAAAGTCCACACAAAATCAAAATTGACAGTGTTTACGTTGCTAGCTAACAACTGTTAGTCATGGAATGAACAATTAATAAACAAATAAATTAACAGTTCAACAATTGTTAAACGAAATAAAAGTTAATCAGCTGAAAAAAGTTTGTTTTGGTAATTTGTAATCAAAATCTGACAAGACATTTTATTTTAGTTTTTATCTATATTATTTTATATTTTTAAAGCCTATTGTGATTTATTGCATATATACATATATATACATTAAACGTATATTATAATTATAATTACTATTATTATTACTATTATTAATATTATTCTAATTACTTTTATTATTATTACTATTAGTATTACTTTTATTATTATTATTATTATTACTTTTATTATTATTACTATTATTATTATTACTATTATTAATATTATTAGTATTATTACTTTTATTATTATTACTATTATTATTATTACTTTTATTATTATTATTACTTTTATTATTATTACTATTGCTGTTATTATTGCTATTATTTTTTATTATTACTATTATTTTTATTACTATTATTATTATTACTGTTATTATTACTATTATTATTAATAATAATGATAATAATAACACAGGATAATATTGCAGTACGGTTCAAAGCATTGTATTTACCATCAATTACTCTAGTATTTATTTTATATGACATTAAGGCAAGTATGAGTAAAGTTTTCAAATGAATCGAGCTGAAATCTGCTATTATTACTTATTATATCGGTGTATTACCGAGCATCAGTCATGAGGATGCGCATCGCGCGGAAACACCGGTTCAGAACTGCGCGGCCACGACAACTGTGCGCGCGTTTGGAGAGGCGCGCTCGCGACTCAGCGGATCCTCAGCGCATTTCTTCAACTCATTTTTGGAGGCTCTATAATTCACAAAACAAACCTCAAAACAACAAAAACGCCAACTTCCCCTTGTTAAAATGCCTGTTCTCTGATATATTAGTCCACCATGGATCCGCTGTACATCACTTCGCCAAACTCGAGCGCCGATAACGGGAGCGCCGGTTCTCCGGTAAACGACACGGAGGTGTTCGGGAACCAGTTCGTGCAGCCGGTCTGGCAGATCGTACTATGGGCTATCGCGTACTGCACTATAGTTCTGGTGTCGGTAGTGGGAAATATCACGGTGATCTGGATCATTTTAGCGCATAAGCGCATGAGGACGGTCACCAACTACTTTCTGGTGAATCTGGCGTTCGCGGAGGCGTCCATGTCCGCCTTTAACACCGTCATTAACTTTATTTACGCGGTGCACAATGAGTGGTACTTCGGGCTGGTTTACTGCAGGTTTCATAACTTCTTCCCGATTGCAGCTGTCTTCGCCAGTATTTACTCTATGACCGCTATAGCTCTGGACAGGTGAGACATCATCTTTACTTATTATTAATGTGTGTGCATTGATGGAATAACAAGTCAATGTCAATAAATAACCAGCAATTACATGCAAATGTCATCCTTGCCATGAAAAAAAAAAGTTTTTATGTTTTATATTTTAATATTTTACAGTATACACTCTCAGAAATAAAGGTTATCTGTCACTGGGGTGCCTTTTCGAAAAGATACAAATTTGTACCTAAAAGGTTCATATGAATAATACCTCAAGGGTACATATTGAAAAAAGAGTTGCATGCAGAACTAACTGTTGCAAACAAATTATGTGTTGAATTTAAACAAACAAATTAAATTTAATAATGTTCAACTTAATTTGTTTAAATTCAGCTCAAATAAATTGTTTACAGCCACTTAATGTAAAAAAATTTATAAATCCAAGGAATCATCTTTGAATAATTAAAAAAAAAAGTAAACTTAACAAGTAACCTAAAAAGTACAAAAAAGGACAAAAGTGTTCCTCTTAAAATTTTTAGGTGCTAATACTTTTGAGGTACCAATATTGACCCTTTAAATGTGTGTCTTTTAAGAAAGCACCACAGTGACAGCTCGAGTTGGCGGTTCATTCCGCTGTGGTGACCCCGGATTATTAAAGGGACTAAGCCGACAAGAGAATGAATGAATGAATGAATGAATTACACAGCGGATGCCATTCCAGCTGCAACCCAGTATTGAGAAACACCCATACACACTTATTCACACACACACTCATACAGCCAATTTAGTTGATCAATTCCCCTATAGCGCATGTGTTTGGACTGTGGGGGAAAGCAGAGCAGGAAACCCACGCCAACAGGCGGAGAACAGTGCTGTGAGGAAACAGTGCTGACCACTGAGCCGGTAAATACTGTACTTTATGGGAATATTATACTACAGTTCATCACAGTTTACGATGGTAAAAACTAAAGTATGCTACAGTACTTATTATAATGTATCAGTCAATATGACAGCCCCTATCTGAAATGTATTTAGCCAGGCCCTCTCCAACTTTTAGTTTACTAAGATATGTAGATATTTGAAGAATGCAGTTGTTGACATCCATAGTACGTTTTTTCAACTATGGAAATCAATGGCTATCAAGCATTCTTCAAAGCATCTTCTTTTACACTACATACAGTGCTCAGCGTAACTGAGCTGACCTTTTGAATTGACCTTTAGAAACTGAATATTTGTTGATTGATTTCTCAGTGAATATAGACAGTGTATATTTTAGTGCATTGAAATAAAAACATTTTATTAAACGGTTATATCTATGAAAATATTTTACCTTTCCTAAACTAATTTTAATTTTTATTGAAGTTATTGCCGTAATAAACTACAACATTTCAATTTCATTTGACAATTTTCTCTGTTTCTCTTCATTTTTCCTGTTTATTAATATTTTATTAACAATTTCTTCCCAGCGTATTCATTTGACTACTCATTTTTAGATTGTGGTCTTCAGATTTCATTCATTCATTTTCTTGTCGGTTTAGTCCCTTTATTAATTCGGGTACGCCACAGCGGAATGAACCGCCAACGCAACCCATCTCTGGGAAAGGTCTTCAGATTTGTTTGTTTATTTTGTTAGATTAGCAGGAGCCATGGTGGCTCAGTGGTTAGCACTGTTGCCTCACAGCAAGAAGGTTGCTGGTTCAAGTTGGTGTTTCTGTGTGGAGTTTGCATGTTCTCCCCGTGTTGGCGTGGGTTTTCTCCGGGTGCTCCGGTTTCCCCTACAGTCAAAACTCATGCACTATAGGGGGAATTGATCAACTAAATTGGCCGTAGTGTATGAGTGTGTGTGTGTGTGTATAAATGAGTGTATGGGTGTTTCCCAGTACTGGGTTACAGCTGGAAGGGCATCCACTGTGCAAAACATATGCTGGAATAGTTGGCGGTTCATTCCGCAGTTGCGACCCCTGGTAAATAAGGGACTAAGCTGAAGAAAAACGATTGAATGAATGTTAGATCATGTTAGAAACATCTGGGTGTGTTCTTAATCTTAAAGCACGTCCCAAACTTATGCACTATTCTTACTTTCCACTCTATCTGTCCCCTACTCAGGTATATGGCGATCATCCACCCGCTCCAGCAGCGTCTGTCGTCCGCTGAGACTAAACTGGTGGTGTGTGTGATCTGGGCGCTGGCGCTAATGCTGGCGTTCCCTCAGTATTATTTCTCCAGCACGGCTCAGCTGCCGGGACGCGTCGTGTGCTACATTAACTGGCCGGAATACAGCATGTGGGACTTCCAAAAGACGTAAGTGCACGGTGTGTGTAGCTGGGTTTCCATGCAAAACTTGCAATTGGTGAATAAAGCAGCGTTTCCATTCAAAGAGTCATGATAGACCTGCGCAGATATTGCTGAGAGAAGTGTTTTTATCTTATTTCATCAATTATTTGCGAACGTTGCAGCACCGTTGTCCTGCAAGACACGTCATTACGTTCCTCTTTGTGTCTATGCATATAGTGGAATTACAATAAAGCTTGACTTGACTTTAAATTGTAATTATGGTCACACTTTATTTTGACGGTCCACTTGGGTATTAGTAGACTGTCTGCTTAATATCTGGAGATATTTGAAAAATAATCATTTCTGTACTTGTTTGTCTTCTGAAATACAAATACATTTACATTTCGTCATTTAGCACAGGGGTTTTCAAACTGTGGGTCGTGACCCACTAGTGCACAGGTGTCAAACTCAGTTCCTGGAGGGCCGCAGCTCTGCACAGTTTAGTTCCAACCCTAATTAAACACACCTGATCAAATTAAATGAGTTCATCAGGCTGGTTTGAAACCTACAGGTAAGTGTGTTGGAGCAGGGTTGGAAGTAAACTGTGCAGGGCTTCAGCCCTCCAGGAATTGAGTTTGACACCCCTGCACTAGTGGGTCGCACAGTGAACAAAGGTGGGTCGCGCAACGTCACGTAGCTCAGGGGTTCCCAAACTTTTTAGCTTGCGACCCCCAAAATAACAATGCTAGTGACTCGCGACCCCCAATATCCTCTGAGGTGGTTATATATACAGAAACCGTGCATGCAATAGCGCACACACACCAATAGACCCAAGTTTATTCTTAGTTTAATCTTTTTTTAATGTAAATCAGAGCTGTAAATGTGCCAGAAAGTTTAACCTGATGTTATAAAATCAATCTGCTGCATCTGACGCCATTGGTGTGTCTTTAAAATTATGTAATTACCCCAGGGGTCGCAATCCAATAGAACTAGTAACTATAAGCGACTGTAGTAACTATATAGTATATATTAACTATTAACAGCAATTTTTCTCTTGAGTAGTTTATTGATAAAATATGGTAATTCTTATGGTTTAATATAAATAAATAGATTTTTGGAAATCCACAGGCGACCCCCCTTCATTGTCTCGCGACCCCTTGGGGGGTCCCGACCCCCACTTTGAGAACCTCTGACGTAGCTGACCGCAGCTATATTTACATTGCGGTGAATCAAAACCAGTACGATTGACAGCAATAACTTAAAAGCCTCTTACTCTAAAAATATCTAAAGTGTGTTTCCTACAAAAAGACAAAGCTGGTGATGTTTCACAGCTGCCTTCTTCTGTTTTTTTTCCGCTCAACATTACGAGCACTGCTCCGTTTGAGCTCTTGCAATCTGCGTTTAGTTAGGAGAGCTCGCACAGAGCGGAGCTTGCAGTAAGGGACCGTCGGAAAAGTGCGAATTTTTTCGTTTTTTTTTTTGCTCCGTCCTGCATGTTTTATTTTAAACACTACAAATTTTCTCTTAAATGAGCACAAACAGTTACTAAAGTAGTCGAATGCTTCATTATAGATCTGTGCATTCATACATGAACACCTCTGTTATCAAACAAAACACAACGAAAGATTTACTAGCTGCTCTTCACTAAATAACTCTAGTAACTTTAATCAATATGCAAATATGATTAAAAGTGAAATTGATTTTATATCTTTATTTAATTTCTGTATAGGCCGTTGATTTTAATAGGCTAAACCTTTTATTTTATTGTCAATATTTTCTAATGTTTGCTTTGTATTCCATCATTTGAAGCTATTTGTTATCCTATATTTTGTACATCCCAACGTTGACAGATTGCTAATCAATGAATAGTTATAGTGCTATCTGTTAGGTTTAACGTCAGCTAATATTATGGAAGGGCATGGATGTTATGGAAAATGGTAATAGTAATGTAAATACCCCATCATTCCTTCCTCAAGCAAATGTGTAAATATTAGATCTTCAGCATTAATGTTAATTGCATTGGCATATTTATCTGACGTTTTCCCAGCTTGTAGTAGTGGATCAAAAAGTTATTTAGTTTCTTATGACTACACTAGCAGTGGAATTTACTGCGATGTGACGGGGATTGATCATAATCCAGGGGCTTGATCAAAGGTTGATCATATTCTCTTCTGAAAAAAGAAGAGTATCTTTTTCAACAAAAAAATGATCAGAGTTACAGCCAGCACAAAAAGCACTTCGAAATCCAAACAGCCGCACACCATATATTTTTTACTGCTTTGAATCGAGACATTTTTTTTACCCATTTTTCCAGATTAAAATATTATGGTGGGTCTTGAGATTAAATTACTTGCCTAGGTGGGTCCCGGAATAAAAAAGTTTGGGAATCCCTGATTTAGCAGACGCTTTTATCCAAAGCGACTTACAAATGAGGACAAGTAAGCAATTTACACAACTATAAGAGCAACAATGAAGAAGAGCTGTAGGCAAGTTTCAGTTGTGCAAAGTGTAAGAAGCAAAGCATTAGTAATTTATTTATTTATGTATTTATTTATTTTTTGTAGTTAGTAAATATGAAATTCTTGAAATGAAACGGAGTCGTCAATGACAACAATCTGTGTTTTTAATATGAACTAACCTAAATGCAACAAACTCTCTTCCTGTAAGACAGCTCTGCCTATTGACAAAAATAAACAACATTACAGTGAGAAAACCGATGCAGTTTGCAAGAAATTGGGCCGCAATAGTGTGAGCTGTGGTCTGATTTACTATATAAATATTTAAACTTCGGCTCAGTAGCAATAACGCCCAGTCCTGCATGCTGATCACATATTTATCCTCTGTTGAATGAGTTTTGATGGATTTTCGCACACGCTCGGTCTGATTCTCCAGTGTCCCGGTATGTTTCCTGCAGGGGGATTTGTTGGTGTCAGGTTTCGACGGCGTATGGATATTTCCAGAACAGCTCAGTCCTTCACCCGCCCGTGCAGTCAATCTGTCTACACTCAATCCTCCTGTCACTTTAAAGCAGGGGCTCCCAAAACTAGGGGTCACGACCTCCACTAGGGGTCACCAAATATTGACGAGGGGTCACTTTAGGGGCTGTTTGTACATTTTCAGCCAAAAAAAAAAGTGGAAACTTTTTTTGAGTTTTGCCTATTTGTCTACACAGCGACAGAGTTTGAGACCGAAAAATGTTTGAAAATCAGGTTTTGATCTCGACTTATTTATAGGGCGATGTCTATATTATATTTCAGCGCCCCTAAAAACAAACTTATAATCAAAAGTAATTTTTTTTATTATAAGATTTAATGATATCTGTGTTTCTTTTTTTTTAAATTTATTATTTATGATTTTTCAATATATTTTTTTACAGAACAACAGTTCCCCTTCCCCAACAGTTTTGCCCCTTACACATGAGGGGATACATAAAATAAAAACAATTATAATTATGAAATAATAATAATAATAATAAATAAAAAAAGAAAATCAATAAAAAATTATAATAAAAAATAAAAATAAAAGATATTGCCATCATAATTACTTCACAGGAGATACGTACATTTGTACATCAAGTTACATTGTGTTGCATTGTAGATTAGATTTACATTTAGTCATTTAGCAGATGCTTTAATCCAAAACAACTTGCAAATGAGGACAAGGAAGCAATTTACACAACTATAAGAGCAACAATGAAGAAGTGCTGTAGGCAGTTCGGGAGTTCATTCCACCAACTGGGCAGATTGAATGCGAGAGTTCGGGAAAGTGATTTCTTCCCTCTTTGGGATGGAACCACGAGGCGATGTTCATTCACAGAACGCAAGTTTCTGGAGGGCACATACATCTGCAGAAGTGAGAGCAGATAAGAAGGAGCAAAGCCAGAAGTCGCTTTGTAGGCAAACATCAGAGCTTTGAATTTGATGCGAGCAGCAACTGGCAGCCAGTGCAAACGGATGAGCAGCGGAGTGACATGTGCTCTTTTAGCTTCATTAAAGACCACTCGTGCTGCTGCGTTCTGAAGCAGCTGAAGAGGCTTGATAGAGTTAGCTGGAAGCCCGGCTAGTAGAGAGTTGCAATAGTCCAGTCTGGAGAGAACAAGAGCTTGAACAAGGAGTTGAGCTGCATAGTTACATCCAATTACAGTAATGATAGGTTAAGCAACCTCTAAATATACACATCTAAATATGTCATAATACTTTTCCACCTCTTCAGAAAAATATCAGTCTTCATTTGCAGACATGCATTCATTGTTTTCCATTTTATAGACCTGTTTAAGTCTCTGAATCCACTGAGCCACCTTTGGAGAACTTTCTTCCATCCAATGTACTGTTATCATTTTTATAATAATATATAAAAATTAATATATTTTATATAATTTTGTAATAATATCTTTAGGACAAATCTTGTTTCCTTATTAAACATATCTTTGGGCAGTGCTCGCAGTAAACACATAACTAGATGGAGGGGTATTTCTACATCTAACATCTTATCTATTTCTTTTTTAACATTTTTCCAAAATTCTTGAATCTTCGGACAGTCCCAAAAACTGTGGGCATGATCTCCACTTTTACCACATTTTCTCCCACACAAAGCTGCAGATGGTCCTTTTACATATGTAGAAATTACAAAAGGAGCATTAAAGTACCCCATTTTTACTTTCCAGTCAAACTCTTTCCACAATTGACTATTAATTCCTTTATGACTTTCTTCACATAACTCAGTCCAGACCTCATCCTCGATTATGGTATTTAGTTCTAGTTCCCATTTTCCTTCAACGTGATAAGTACAGGTAAAGTATTATTTATGAATCTTTTACATAAATAAAAGACTGGAGTGTTATTTTCTGCAATATTTATGAAGTATTCCTCTGCTTTATTAGGTTCTTGCATGATTAGAGCTTTTTCTGAAATCTGTGTTTCTTATGATAATTGTTTTATTTTTTATTATTATTTGCTATTCTTCATGTGTGCTAATTTAGGTGCAATAATTCACACAATATTTGAAATTATTTATTTTTATTTTTACAT